TTTTAATTAATTTACTATATTTTTATTAATTTTAATTAATATTTTATATAATTTTGGAAAAGTAAAAGATAAAAAACCTATAGCTAGAGTACATTATAATACTAAGTTACTAACATATAAAGCCTTAATAAGTAATAATTTTAGTTTGTTATATGAGATGATTAGTTATATAATATTAGATAATTTTCTCTTTTTATAACCTTCCTAAACTTAATTTAAAGTTCAAAGTTGAAATATTAAATTATTAACTACTTGAGATAAGAGAGCTACTTGGTATAGCTTAAAAATAAAGCAAATTTTTATATCTTAAATTTAAAAATTTATTAAAAAACTTAAAAAATTAACTTCTAAAATAATTTTTAAACAAATTTATTGCCTTTTAAGCTCTACCGAAACAAGCATGATTCCACTGGCTTTGGGCTTTTATGAAAATTTATTTATTTTTTTCTGCAATGTTATTATTTTTCGCCATTTCCTTTTTCCTTCCAAATCAAAGTTTTAAAATTTTTTTTATAGAATATATTATATACTAAAAGTACCATTTATTTTATAAATTTATTAAACATTTTCGATAAAATAATATAAAAAATAAAAATTAATTTTATTAAATATATTTTAATAAATTTATAAAATAATTTGTATTTTTGATATACAATTCGAATGATAGAATATGATTCACTTAAAAAAAATTTCTTTAATTTTCTGGTTATTTTACGAAATCTAAAAATTTTATTGGTCGATGATAAATCTGACGTGTCAGCAAGCTTCATGGAGGACTCACTTCGGACTCTCGCCTCTCTTCCACTTCCCCTTCTCCACTCTTCCTCCATTTTCTCTCCCCTCCGCAACGGCTCCCTCTCTCCACCGCATCCCCCGACCACCGCCGCATAGATTCGGGCCTTCCCTCCTCATCTCAAGATTTTTCTTATTGCCAGCGATTCTCCTTCGCAGACCCTCACCATCCTTCCCCCTCACTCCTTCTGCCGCCAACCATTAATCCAATCCCCCTCAGAAGAAAACCTTAAACCTATTCAGTCATCATCCACTACAGATTCAGCTCGTGCTTGTTCCCATGGTATCATTTTCTCTTCATTTTCTTTTCTTGTTTTTTGTTGTGTTGTTGATTTCGCTGATATACTTTGAAATTTGATTTCTGTTTGCATTATAATGGGATTAGTTGTTGTGTGCGAATTTTCTTGTTAGATTTACTTTTTGGTTTTCTGATATTAAACCCCGTTTTTAGTTTGCATGCTATATAGGTTTCTAGATTTCTTTAAATAGCAAAGTCTTGTAATTTCATTTTTTTTTTCTTTTGTGGTTTTAAAATTGTAGATTGTATATGAACTATATCTCAATGAATGTTCTATTGTATTTGTAATAGTAAAACAATGAAGTTTATACATACTCTTAAAAGAATTTACACTTACCCCTGAGTGCTTAATTTGAAATATTTGATGTAGATTGTATATTCCCTCAAAACTTAGATTGGGTTCTTAATTTACCCATTTACTTTTGTATTATTGAATTTATTTTATTATGATCAAATTCTGTTTTCCATTTTTTTTGAGGGGTTTGTAGTGGACATACTCCTTATAATTTTCTTATTTGGAATTAAGATTGTAGACTTATGTTAGACATTTAGGCTTTTAGGATTTGGTTTGCTGTTTTGTTTGTTTTCACTGTTCTTTTTGCTGATTCTCTGATCTGACATGTTTGTAACTTTATTCTGTTAATTGGTATACCATATAGGAACGTTTGAACCCACATCTGTTTATTTATTAAGTGGGATTAATTACACATTTTTCTTGACATGAACCAAAGAAAAAACTAGTAGATCATGATATGGGGAGTTCCTGTGAAGAATATGAAGTTGTAATTCTTTTAATCTCAATTTTTTAGATGTTGTCCCTTCACCATTGGTTTTGGTCAAGTCTTTGAGTACTTTAGAATATAAGGAAAAAGAGAAATGGACATGCAAATGAAGGTGGCGCATGCTGTTCATGTGTTGAATCACGATGCTGAATCCTGCAATCGTGTGGCTGCAAATCAGTGGCTGGTTCAGTTCCAGCAGACAGATGCTGCTTGGGAGGTTGCCATTTCCATCCTCACCTCTGAGCATCAGCCCTATATTTCTGACTTTGAAGTTGAATTCTTCGCTGCTCAGATTCTTAAACGCAAGGTTGTTTTTGCTGCCTTTTCTTTATTTACATCACTCCTGCTTCATTCCTGTAACAATGAACATGATTTTTATTTATTGTTTATTTATTTATTTATTTTGTCTCTGGTAATGCTTTGTAGCTATAAAAATTTTTATCACTATTGAGAGTAAAACTAAATGTTTGAGATTCATGAGTTGTGGTCCTAAGTGGGATTGTGGGAATCATTAATCAATGGGCAAACTCTGTCAATCAATTAATGGCCTATTTGAAATTGTGTTTGTCTGGGAAAAGGTGAGATGCATTTTACAAATTTGATTTCCATGAAATGGTAAACATGCCCATCCATCTGAATTTTTCTGCTGCTATTTGACAGATCCAGAATGAAGGGCATTGCCTACAGTTAGGGGTTAAAGATGCTTTGCTTAATGCGCTTCTTGTTGCTGCTAAAAGATTTACTTCAGGCCCTCCTCAGGTCCTTCATTTTTCTCCTTTTTGATGGCAGTACTTTCCATAACTCAGACCTGGCTAACATGCTTGGGCTGTATTAACGATCCATTTTATAGTTTATTTTAATTTTTATACAATTTATTCATCTTTTCCACTGGATTATGAATTGTGATACTGAATGGAGCTCTTCATTTGTTTTTCTTTTTCATAATTAAGAATGATAGCTACCTTTTATCTTCATGACAGCTTCTAACACAAGTCTGCCTTGCACTCTCTGCACTTATCCTTCGTGCTGCTGAGCGTGGAAAACCTATTCAACAACTTTTTTATAGTCTCCAGAATCTGCAAAGCCAGGATGATGGAAATGTTGCTGTTCTGGAGATGCTGACTGTTCTACCAGAAGAAGCAATTGACACCCAAAGCAGTGATTGTAAAATAAGTCCATCACACAGAAGCCAGTATGGCCAAGAGGTTTAGGATTTTAAAATTATTTTTTATGGTAACAGATATAGCATTATTTGTTTCATCAACTTTATTTTATTTACCTAATTATGTCAAATTATAATTTGTTTAAAGCAGCTTCTTTCACATATACCAATGGTTCTTGAATTCCTACTTCAGCAATCTGAAAAGAGATTTGAGGATGATGTGCAACTGCAAGAAAAAAACAGAAAAATTCTGCGCTGCTTACTAAGTTGGGTAATATAGTTTCCGAAAATCTTGTCACTACCATTCTTGTTATATTTTAACTGCATCTTTTAGTTCTTTAAGTAGGAGAATATAACAGGTCCTGTTCAAATTTGTGCCTTTATTATTATTATTTTAAAAAAATTCCTGTAATCTTGTTTTTTCATCTCATGACATATATATTTTTTCAATATTAGGTTCGAGTTGGATGCTTCTCGGAGATTCCTCAGGGCTCATTAGCTGCACACCCGCTGCTCAATTTTGTATTTAACTCGTTGCAGGTATTTGTTTTTAGTTTAGTGTTGGAATTTTGTTTGAGTTTAAAAGCAATTGTACTCTTTCACTTATCTTTATGCCTGTCTCTACAGGTTTCTTTGTCATTTGATCTCGCTATTGAAGTTCTTACTGAACTTGTTAGTTGTCATGAGGTATGATCCTGCCGAAAAACTGATCACTATCAATTCAATTTGACATATGATAACATGTTATTTTGCTCAATGTCAACATACTTCCTTCCCCCCTCTTTTATTCTACAATAAATCATTTGTCCCACTCCGATGAGGTTATCTTGCTATGCTAGAACAAGTTTTGCCACCTTCTTTGTGGACTGTCTTTCGTCATTCTCTTTCATGCATGTAGTATGACATATATGAAGCTAAAAGCAGTCTTCTTAATCATGATGATAATATTGCTTAAATAATTATTTATCAGACTATCAGTAGAGAGTTTGCCAGATTACTTAGCTGAAAGTTTCAAAGGGGAAGAGGAATCTACTTCTAAGGCTTTTATGCTATGATTGTTTCTACCCTAATTATTTCAGATAATTTTATCTGGTTAAACTTGTGCTTGCTTTCCTAGGGGCTGCCTCAGGTATTGTTATGCAGAGTTCCCTTTCTTAAGGAGATTCTTCTTCTGCCAGCTCTTGCAAATGGAGATGAGAAAATAATTGCCGGGCTTGCATGCTTGATGTCTGAAATTGGGCAAGCTGTGAGTATTTAGTATGGATTCATGTTTGTTACTAATTGCACTTCTCAAGTTTCCTGATTTAATTTCTTTATTTGTTTTTTCTTATAAATATTTCATGAAGGCTTGGACAAATGTGTTGGAGCTGCAGTTACTGTTAATGATGTACACTAGGCACCATCTCTGTTACTGTTTAGATAAAAATAGCATATCTCCTATTCACTTTCTTATTAATATCTTCCCAATTTTATCTACTCTAGGCACCATCTCTGATTGCAGAGGCAAGTACTGAGGCACTTGCACTGACGGATGCACTCTTGAGGTGATATATTATTTTTTAAACCTTCAGTTTCATGATATTGTTTCTAAGTTTTGGTTGGCCAGTATGGCTTGAGTATTAGGATGCTTGATTTAAATGTGTCAGGAATTTAACCAGAAAAAGAAGAAGAAAGGATTGGTAAACATTATGTGGATTGTAAATATTTATAACCTTTAGTACAATCACCATAAGGAAAAAGACCTGTCATTTGGAGAGAGTGCATGTCAGGATTAATGGACCTCATTTTTAATTAGCTCTCTTTGTTTAGACATTGCATGCATTTTGGTCATGTACCCTCTTAATAATCATTATATATTTATCATTGGGTGTTTGTCTAACTTTTTTTTATTGAACTTCCAGTTGTGTGGCATTTCCAAGTGAGGGTTGGGAGATTGCAGACTCAACTTTGCAATTTTGGTATTTCCAATTACTTTTACCCTTTTCTAATATTTTATTTTGTGCTCTATTTCTTCCCAAAATCATTATCAATGTATCCTGCATTCAAATGTCAAACTTGGTTCCTCGCCAAATTACCCTAATGGAAGGTTTTAAGCTTGACATGGTGTGTTTAGGTTGAGGTGGCTTGAACTCATTCTTTTTCTGTTAAGTAACTCTCTATAGAAGTTCTTTTTCACAAGACAAACACATTGTTAGCCTGATAATTCTGCTGGTGGGCAATATCTAAGTGCCAGTTGCATTGTTGATTGTTCCAATTTGATGTTGAGTGCTGATAAGTTAAAAGAGCTTCTATCAAAAGCTCCATATACTGCAATCTATAAATGTTACCATTTTCATTACTTTCAAATGTTGATAGTGTATCAGGCCTGAGTGAGTTTTTCATCAAGGCTTAGTTGAGTTGAGTTGGTTTCTTCTTTGTTCAGTTTATCATGATTTGCAAATACTAGTATTGTGTTGACTGTTGAGTGCTGTTGGCTCCGCCTGTGCACTTCATGTTCATGTGTTTTGTTGAATGCAAGCCTGTATGGTTATTGTTATTGGTTCTTACATTTGAAGCATTTCTATACATGATTTTTTGGTGCAGTAAGTCTTGATGCTGCAGGATGACTGTGAGCTTATTTCTATTTTTTCCTTCACCAGGTCTACCCTTGCAAACTGTATACTTGGCCTCGATATGGAGAGCAGGAATAGAAAAAGTGTGGAAGACATGTTTTTTTCTATATTCTCAGCGTTACTTGATGCTCTTTTACTGCGTGCTCAGGTTCTTTCTAGCTCTTTGCTTTAAATTTTTTTTGAAGTTATTGAAGTTCCAATTTAAAATGTTAGAAAAATAAGCTGCTATTATCCTGATTAATTCTATTGATGTTATGGGCATTGAGGATGATCCAGGTTTTTTATGATTGTTTATATAAGCATTAGATTTTTGGTTGGAGAATATTACTGGCAATATTTGGATATCACATGCTTTTAAGTATCATGTTATGGTTTTAGAAAGAAGGTTATAGACTAGTTTCAATTTGAGGTTTTGAAAAGTAAATATCTTAGTCTTGAATAATTTCAACAACTCAGCTGCTAGTGTGAATGTTTCATTGAATACTGATAACGGCAAACTCTCTACTTCTGGCATATTTGATGGTAATTTTATGATAATAGTGTAAAATCATTTTGTTGTTTAAACTTATAAGTATTTTCTTCTTCAACTTTTATTTTGTTTTTTGTTTTTTGTTTTTTTGTTTTCATCTGTTTGCTTTATATTTTTATCCTTTGAAAATAGATCTTAAGTGTTGACACATTACAGGTGGATGAATCTACAGTTGGTGATGATAGTGGAACTATTGACCTTCCTGATGGCCTTGTTCAATTTAGAATGAATCTTCTTGAACTTTTGGTGGATATATGTCAGCTTTTACGGCCTCTTACATTCACACAAAAGGTGCTTGTTCTAGAGAGTCTATGCTATGTCTAAGTGTCCAAGAAAGATAGGTATATAGTTGAACTGGATGCATGTTGTGTGTTATTTTCTACTTGATCATAATCTGCCTGTTAAATTTATAGTGTGAGACTGGTTGGACTCATTTTACTGTCTTCTCAAGCATTTGTGTTGCTTCTTGGTTTGAATGTTGTCTTAGAATTGGCTAAGTTCTACCTTTATTATCTCTGAAGCAAGGATATAGCCATAGGGCTGTACCTATGCTGATACCATATGCATATTGGGTAGCTTGAGTTTCTTTAATATATCATTGCTAAATTGACATATAATAAATATTAAATACTTGTCATTGTTTAGTATTAACTTGGGCTTTTTTCTGTACTTGCAATTTTGGTACAGTTTCTTTTATGTTAAGTTATGGTTATCTTAGAATTATATTTAGCTCACTTTTCAATTTTACTGCAGCTTCTATTCAGTGGTTGGTTATCTGCAAATGTACCAATAAATTGGAAAGAGGTTGAAACCAAATTATTCGCCCTTAATGCAGTAAGCATAACTTCTTTTTCCAAATGTTTCTCCTCTTTTCTGCCTTATGTTTTTCATTTCCAACTTCCTATCTCCAAAGTTATGAAGAAGGCCAAAAGGAAAATGTAAAGGGACTGCCCAAGAATAAAAATGATCAGAAAGCCTAATAAAAAGGGAGAAAAGAATACAAAAAGAGTGACAGTGTATCCATTTTAGTTATATAGAGTTTACGATGCTTATCGTCACTATTTCTTTTGTGGTGAGAGCTTGTGATACATTCTGGTTGTTTATTGCATATTGAGTATTGGCAAATGTCCTTGTCTCCCAATTTGTTTCTTGGAAATTTAACAAGTTCTTTGTTCCAGGTTTCTGAAGTAGTACTACTAGATGGCCAAACTTTTGACTTCTCAATGATTGTGCAGTTGGTAGCAATATTGTCTTCTTCACCTTCTGAAAGTATCAAGGGTTTCATTTGTATTGTATGTTACATATGCCCCCACTGTACTAATTGTTTTTAACCCCCAATATTATTGTCACTACTTTTTTTTTTTTTTCTCCCAACAAGGGGTTTTGCTTAAAAGGAAAATGTTTAAAATTGTTGTCTCCATTCTAGGTATACAGGTCTCTTGCAGATGTTATTGGTTCATATTCCAAGTGGATATCTGCTTTTCAAAATAATGCCAGGCCCCTATTGTAAGGACACATGTTCCTTTTGGGTTATAATCTGTCTATTTCTACTATCATTTCTTTTCCCCCCCCCAAAAAAAAAAAAAAAAATCTTAGTTATATTTTATAATTACTGTGCTGTTGGACCAACAAGACCTTGGACCAACAAGACCTTGGACCAACAAGACCTTGGTTGAGTTGGTACCTACTAACTTAAAAACCTTGATTTGGGGTCAAGGTCAGGGGTTCAAACTCTTGCAATACCAAGTAGCTAGCACCCAATGTACCCAAAAAAAAAAAAAAAAGAAGAAAAACTTGTTAGGTTGGATTATTGTCTCTATTTTCTGGGCAAAGTTTTTAAATAAGATGCTTCTGATCTTCTACCATTAATTTCTGTGTTGACCATTTCAATTTTGTTGTGCTATCTGCCTTTTGCAGATTATTTCTTGCTGCGGGAATATCAGAACCTCTGTCCTCGAATGCTTGTGCCTCAGCCCTTCGTAAATTTTGTGAAGATGCTTCTGCTGTGATTTATGAACCTTCAAATTTGGAAATCTTAATATGGATAGGAGAGGTAACTACTTCATGGGGCTCTTTTAAATGGTCAGATGTGATTTGTCATTAGTCCTGCCTTTGTTCTCTGATTCTATTTTGACCTACATGCATATCTATATATATATTTATATATTTCTTTTTCCATTTGGTCCACATGCATGTATTGTTGAAGTTGATGGATCTATTAGTGCTTCATTTACCAAGAATAACTAAACATGAACAGAATTGGTCATGGTTTTATTTTTCCATATGATTGTTTTTTGCTTTTCCTTTCTACATCACTTGAATGGAGCATTTAGCTCTGACATTCTACTGCTTTTTTGTAGATTTTCATTTGTACTCTGCTTTCTATTTTTCTATTGTTGCTTTTCTCAGGCTCTAGAGAAGAGGCATCTTCCTTTGGAAGATGAAGTGGAAATTGTTAGTGCAATTAGTGCAATTCTTGGGTCTGTTTCCAACAGGGAGCTACAGAATGCTTTATTGACTAGGTTGCTATCTTCTAGCTATGAAGCTGTCAAAAAACTTGTAAGTCGTCTACCTTTTTCCTTTCATTAGTTTTCATGATATTGTTTTGGTATCATGGTTAATGTGTTCTATTATTCTAGGTACTCACCTTATCACAAGCATTCTGCAAGATTCACTTTGATAAATAGTCTGCCTTTAAACTTAATAAATGCTTGGGAATTGAGGATCCATTATGGGATACTGAATCAGTTGACAAAGTTCTGTTCCAATCTAATTTTGATGAAATTACATTTTCTCCTGCAATATTTAGTCATCAACACATCATTTTCAATTAGAAGCAATGGCGAGATATGTAGTCCACAGAATCTATGAATGTAGTGAAGAAAAGCGATATCAGACTATCAGCTGTTTGGACTCTAGCTGAAAGGTCTCTAGCGTGAAATGATTTTGAATGCAAATTGCATTGAGACCAACTTCTATATTCTTTCTAGTCTAGATTTCACTGGAATGATACTTGATGGAGGATCTTAGATGCTTCTAGTTTCTTACCATGTCAATCCCTAACTAATTTAAGGCATTTTCTTTTGTTTTTGAATTCCACTGGGGCTGTGGAATATATAGGTGCTTGATTTTCCTCAAGGGTTCTTTGTGCCTCCTGTTTAAGTTGGGGAGCACACAGAGCCTCCATGCATCAAAATTTTAGAATAAATAAGAATTATGGTTTAGATCTCATTAAATGAGTTCTATGCATGAAAATCTTTAGCATATCAATTTAATTATTTTGATTTGATGTCTGACAGGAAAACTTTCTAATATTGATTAACAGATTGATGATGACAACCATTCTCTGAGACAAAATCCAGCTCTATATACCCAAGTTTTGAACTCTGCAACAAGAGGGCTTCACAGGTTTGCTGTTTGGACATGCAATTCTATTTGCATTGGTGCAAGTTAGAGCCTATGTGGGGATTTAGGTGTGATACTTTGTTCTTTGAATTTGAGCTATGCTGTTGGTTGTCTGATTTTCAGGATGGGAATTGTATTCAGTCATCTTATATCACCTTTGCCAAGTGAGCCCTCCAGTGATGATCCTATTCTTGGACTACTTAGGATTTTTTGGCCTATGTTGGAAAAACTCTTTAGGTCAGAACACATGGAAAATGGTAGTTTATCCGCTGCTGCTTGCCGGGCCCTTTCACTAGCAATTCAGTCCTCTGGTACTGGGGGTTCTTTTGTTTTGCTTTCTGCATTTCTTTATCATATCCTGTGATTGGGGTTATATTGGAAGATCATGGAGTCTTCTAATTGCGTTACAAACTATGCAGGCCAACAATGTATGGTGCTACTTCCCAAAATACTTGATTGGCTATCATCAAACTTTTTGTCCTTTCAAAGTCATGATTGCTATGTCAGAACAGGTAAATTGTTTGGCTTATACTTGATAGCTTGTAATGTAATTCGGTATCTTCCAAGGATGGTCTTTCTTGAATGTTTTACTTTGGATAGTTGCCAGTCTTGGTAATAGCTCCATAGCATAGCACCCTCCTGCATTGCCGCTATTTCTTGAGTGTTTTACTTTGGATAGCTGCCAGTTTTGTAAATGGTTGCCATAGGTTAGTGCCCTTAAACATTGTGACAATGACAGCCTCTATAGCATGGCAGATTTTATTTAGAGGCCGCTATTCCCATAGCATTTAGTGGCTGCCATCAACACTATCTGTATTTTTGATGAAAGGATAGGAAAAAAAATTCTTCAACCAATCATATTTTTTAGGGATATATTGTTACTTTTGGCTTTAATTCTATTAAAAAAAGCACAAAAATCCTGAAGTAGCAATAAACCCTAACATCTGATGGTATCCCAATGTCTCCCTGCTCTCTTTGAAGAATGCTGTAGCCTGCCCTTTTCCCTCACTTGCAGCTCAAGGTCCTTGGGCAAAGAGGTTGCCAGCAAACCAGGAGGAAATCCTGATCAGTTCTGTGAGAAATAGCGTTAATACATATACCCTTAAAAATGGATCTGATTGGTTAAAGAATTATTTTATGTATTTTCGTAAAAAATGCATATAGCATTAATAGCGGCTGCTATATGCTATAGGAATAGTGGCTGCTAAATAAAGGGCATGTTTGGTTCAGCTTCCAAGTGCTTCAACTTTTTGACACTATTCATGTTTCATAAATTTAAATTTCCCTCTTAAAAACTTACATTTTTAAACCTTTTTTTAACCTTAAAAAGATCTCAAACAGTAAAAGCTCAAAAGCTTCAAATCCAAGCTTTTCATAAACTCCTTTTTTACTCACTTTTTCCTATCTCTAAAAACAACTTTTAAATTTTCCCTCTGATAAAAATTTAAACTTATCACTCATGAACAGTACAAAAAAAGTAAAAGCTCTTACAAGCTAACCCAAACATGCTCAAAATCTGCCACACTAGGAGGTTGTAAATAGTGGCAATGGTGGAGAGATAAGTTAAGGCACTATTGGCAATGCTGGTTTAAGAAATTGATATGTACTCAATATAGCTCTTTGGATTGTATTAATATGATGAATCCCCTTAAAGTTGAACGGACAGTTTCAAATCAAGGAATCTTATGTTTATAATAAAACAATTTTGCCCTGGTGTAGGATTTCTATGCATTAAAAACCCCAAAACTCTAATTATCTCATCAGTCAAGGATTCCTTTATGGTGAAGAGTACATAGGTTTCTATGGGAACTCTTTTCTGATGGGAAAATAGGCAATATTGATGTTGGCAAGCTCAGCTTTATGAATGTAAAGCATTGGGCCTCTTTTTTTTTTTTGGGGGGGGGGGGCTTTTAAGGACACAATCTTCATAGCATAAATCAGACTAAAATGCCATGTTATCCAAATTTTTTGGAACTAATGGTTTCTATTAATTTGACGTTGAATAAAAAATTAGAGGTTGCATCCTTAATTCAGCAGAAGGATAGTCTATGCACTACATTGGTAAATCTGGACAAGTTCTTGTCTTTTGCCTGTTTTGAGCCATTTTCCCAGGGCTAGCTTATAAAGTGTTTTTATGATATATCAGAAGTTCAATTTAGTTTATGAACCTTTGACATCAACAGATCTGCACATGTCTCTGTAATTGTGGAAAATAACCCCATTCTATGAGCTTATTTTTCTTACCTAATCATTTGCTTTGGGTGCATACCAATTGTGTTAGCATCTGTGGTTATTGAAGAGTTTGGCCATAAGGAAGAGTATGCTCCTTTGTTTATCACCACTTTTGAACGATTTACACAAGCGTCATCAGTAATGGGTCTTAATTCTTCGTATATATGTGATCAAGAGCCTGACCTAGTGGAGGCCTACACAAATTTTGCATCAATCTTTGTTCGTGGTACCCGTAAGGTTTAGTATACTCTCTAATTCACAACTTATCATCTTTTCCCTTGCTTTCATCTTATATTGAATATAAATAAGGAGACTGTCCTTTTTAAGCATTTTATGCAGTCGCTTTTTGTAGGTAATAATTTTAATGACATCTGCGTCTCTCTTATGCATCTCAGGAAGTATTGGCTGCATCAGGTGCCATTCTTGAAATTTCCTTTCAAAAGGCAGCAATATGGTGCACTGCTATGCATCGTGGTGCAGCACTTGCAGCTATGTCATATTTGTCTTGTAAGTGGAATTTACTGGCTGATCCTTCTTTCTCAATCTTTGTGTTGGTAACATCTAAAATAGGAGGGAGTAGTAACATGCTCTTTCTACAATCTGACATGCAAGCACACTTCCTATGTTCTAGAATTACCCCCAAGTCTGATGTTCAAATACATTGATACTTTTCTCATTTCAATAATGGTTAGTTTTGAAATTTGGAAATATACCCACACATTTGACACTGAGGATGATTATGGTAGATGTAATCATCATGTAAAACACACTTTTTGTGGAATTTAGATGCTTCTTTAATTTCAGCAGTGTCGTTGACTGTAAACACGGTTCAATTTTTTTGTGTTTCCTAGCCATGTGTCTATTTTAAGTATATGCTATTTTTCTTTTTCATCTTAGAAAGGGTTATTGTGCGATGGTGCAAACTCATGTGGATATGCATCTTGCTGTATTCTCTATGTGATTCTTTTATTGGGTGATGACCTTGCTATGTCTTGCAAATTTTTCACATTTGGTTTTGGATCTATGTAAAAGATTGTAATTTGTTTCATTTTGAGGCTTTTAGGTTTTCTGGAGATAGGCTTGTCTTCTTTATTGGAATCCGAAGGATCATTCAGTACAATAGCTATTCACGTCATCTCTCATAGTGGGGAGGGACTTGTATCAAATATAGTCTATGCTTTACTTGGTGTTTCTGCAATGTCACGGGTAAATTCAAGATCCTTCAACCACAAGCAGATAATGTCCGCATATTATTGTGCATCTTTTGCGGACTAGATCCATGTCAATTGCATGTGATTTATGTTGTTTTTTCTCCTCCTCTTTGGTGTAAGCTAACTTTTGGCTTCCCTTCTAAGTTTTGCTTTAATTTCCTTTGTACATTTTAACATATGCAAATAGGGGAAGGGAGGGGAGGGAAATGGAAGGATATTGTCTCTCCTCCCCTCCCCTCCATTTTCCTCAAACCAAACAGGCCCTTAAGTGGCAGATAGATACTGGACTCCATAAACTTAAATTGTCCCAAATCTTTAATATCTGCTGCAGTATTTTATAATGGGGCCACAAGTTTTGGAAGTAATAAAAAATGAATTTGGGCAGGTATTGAAGTTTCAAATTTCCTTACCTTCAAGGGTGGATTCTATCTAAATTACTTGTCCTGTTTTTTAACTCTCTTAGAAAAAGATGTTGATTCAAAAGTAGCATATGTTATATAGTTTTATAAGCTTTTAGGTCTTAGACAGCCTAGACGGTGGGCCTTTCAGATTTAGGCCATGCGTGGTTGAGTTTAATCCAGCTGATTACTTTCAGACCAATTTTTCGTTTTCCTTCGGGAAGACCTCATTTTGAGCCCTCAAACTTTTAATAATTTTTCAAACCACTAAGCAATGTCAATGTCTCGGCCAATTAAAGCTCTTCCAACTTTTATTTCTTAGTCAAGTCTCTTAAAAACTCAATATCATCAAATAGGCCAAAACTCTATTATTTTTTTCCTGAAATTACAATTTTACTCTTTATTAGGAGTTAATTTATTGAAATTATAAATTAACTAGATTTTAATAATAATTGAGAAGTTGATTAATAAAAGAAAATAAAAAGTTTTAATTGACTAGCAACTGGTTTAAATTTGTCATCGTTTTTGGTACTTCCAGGCATCTCTTGCATAATTGGTATTTTTCTGATATTTGATGTTCTCAATTCTGCTGACAAAATATATTCTCATGCTTTCTCTCTATAGGTTCACAAATGTGCAACGATCTTGCAACAATTGGCTGCAATTTGTAGCTTGAGTGAGAGAACAATCTGGAAGGCCATTCTTGGTTGGGAATCTTTGCATGCTTGGTTACTTGCAGCGGTATCTCTCTCTCTCTCTCATGTGGAGCTATTTTTGCATATGTTCCAAATGCCAGTTCATGTGTCCATTTAGCATCTTCATCTATATTGCTTTGTTTCAATTCTGCCTGATGAGTTAAATTTTCTAGTTTTGCAGGTGCAGGCTCTTCCAGTTGAGTATCTCAGGCAAGGAGAGGTAGAAACTTTGGTGCCCATTTGGTTAAATGCCCTTGGTGGTGCAGCCTCAGATTATCTGGAGAGCAAGAGCTGCAATGGAGTAAAGAGTGATTATGGGCATATGCAAGGGAAGGGTGGGAGAGTTTTGAAACGTTTAATCCGAGAGTTTGCTGATGGTCATCGCAACATCCCAAATTTAACTTGATTGCTTACTGTATATATTGTAACTTACAGTGATTCTGCCTGCGGCTTCATTCTCTACCTAGCTTAAAGCATCCCTTGCAAAATGATGGCTTGTTTTCATTCTTGCTTATTGCTGGGAGCACTGAGCTGGAGAGTGTGCTTGCTATCTCCCAAGTGTAACAGTCTCTTGTACAGCATGGTACCCTCCCCATTCCTCCAGAATCAAAGTAGGATATTCATTTTTGCGCAAGCCTTACAATATGGTAAAACTTAATTTTGAGATTAATACAAAAGTAATTGTTGATTACAGTAATAATCATTTTTGGTAAGACCAAATTGCATCTACATTTTCGATTGTATGTTCAGCACTGGTGTTGGTTGACGAAAGGTGCAAATCAACGCCGGAACTTGCAGGGTGGTGGTGGATTTCACCTTTTTTTTAATTATTTTAATTATTATTTGATTTGGGTAGACATATTGGTTCGTTAAATTTAAAATGAGATTTTTGTTTTATCCTTTATAAGAGTTCTACAAACATCTCTAACATTATTAATCAAGTAATTAGCATTCTTAATGAAGAGATAAATGATTAAAATTTTATATAAATAATGTATCATACAGTGATGTCCTATGCAAGCAACAGTTTGTTGTTGCTCTAACCTTGATTAGTTAGGCATCATCTTGTTTTGCATGTCCTACAATCAGATGAAGCAAAGGAAACGAATTATTCTAACCCTCGCCATACCTTACTGGAAACTTTCGAGTGTGTGAGCCATCCCTGCAAAATTCATGTTCATGTCTTTGATCTGAGTATGACTTTGTCCAAATTCATTTCAAATTAAGTAGCCATGCATGAAACATTTCTAATCTGATAAAACTTGCCCTACCCGGCTTAGTGTTAGATATTTTTGAGTCAACTTTTGCAAACATAAAGTGATTTTAAGTGGGTACTCAACTATCATTTTTTTTTTTTTTGAAAATAGGTAATGGAGTACTCAAGTATCTTATATCGACATTATATATTTAATACCAACAGCTTGTTGGTGTGAATGAAAATAATTCATTTATTTTTAAATATAATTTTAAATTTGAGTTTTGTAAATGAAAAAAGTAAATTATGAGAGAGTTTTTTTTTTTTTATGATATTTTATGTAATTTGATCCTAGATTAATAGTTTAACTCAAAATTAATCAGAATCTAATATAATTATTGGATATTGAGATATTAATACAAAAAAAATGATATATTGAAAATAAGTTTTTTTTTTAATATTAACATCAAAAACTTCAACTTTAAATTTAATTTATAAAATAATATTTATTTATCGATAAATGTATCTCTTGAGATTCTATATATTGTTGCTGTCTTTATTATATATATATCGCCATTGATAATTAGTTCCTGTTGGGCGTCAAACATGTTCCAACGTCCCATACTAGACGTTGGTATTAAACTTCCCCGCACTAACGTCTGCCAAGATTCGATTGGTTGACTTGATGAGTATTGGGTACGTAACACTAAGACCCTAAATATTTATGCACATATATGAGCTAGCTACAGTACGAAAAATGTACCGATTTTCTCTTATTATTTTGTCAATAATTAGACCTTTTTCTCTTTTCCTTTTGCCAAGAGATAAAAACAAAAAAAATCTTTATCATGATAGGAATAATAATTAAAATTAAGAAATAATTATAAAATTTAAATAAAAAAATATTTTTTTAACTTATATTATAAAAAAATAACTATTATATATTCTGAAAAAAATTCTAAATAGGCCCCTGGGCCTCACGGCCCAATAGCTATAAACCGACTTGTAAGGTGTATCCCCCCAGTCCGAGGGTTGGGGTTCGATTCCCCCGTCTCCCATATTTGTAACCTTGTTAAAAAAAAAAAAAAATTCTAAATAGAATGGAAGGAGTAATTCTTAGATTTATTTTTATTTTTATTTTTGAGTAAAATAGTTAAAAATAAAAATTTCCTCAAATCTTTAATTCAAAAATAAAATAAAATAATGTTTATTATTTTGGGACAAATGGTGTAGTATTTTACAATTTAGTGTAATTTAAACTATAACACTCTTTTTTTTCTTTTTCTTGGTTTTTTCCTCTACACCATCGTCATTTTCCCATGATCAGAAAAAAAAAAAAAAAATTCTTTTTGTTCATTTTTAGTAGTCCTAATTTAGTTTTTTTTTTTTTTTAAACTTCTTAAATATAAATTATTAAATAAAAATTTAATAATTCATATTGAACAACAATTGAGAAATTTTTTTTATGACAACCGAAATTTTTTTTTCTATATAATATTTCTGTTGAATATTTTTATTTGATAAAAAAATTTGAATTATTATTTATATAATATGTTAAATTTTTATTTAAAATTTATTTTAAAAAATAAAAAAAATCAAACTACTAAAAATAAATAGAAAATGTAATCAAGACCGTTCTAATTTAGGTTACTGTTGACTCAAAATCTATTGCCTGGTGTACTTAATCAACCCCTATTAATTTTAGTCCGTTGCATAATTTAATCAACGTAATCGACGCTTCCTAGTTCCCTGACAACAATTATTGTAATACATCAAACTCTTAGAGTTCAATTTTTGATGTTTTTAGCATATATCACTATCATTATAATTAGTTCGTGAGGGGGTGAGGCATCATCACGTTCCAACTTTCCGTAACTACACGTTGTTGGAATGAAACTTCCCCGCACTAGACGACGTTGTTGGAGTTGAATCAACTTCCAAGAATCGATTGGTTGACTTAGATGAGTATTTGGTACGTTGGAGTGCAATCAACTCCCAAGAATTAATCGATTGGTTGACTTGATGAGTATTTGGTACGTACACTAACACACTATATATTTATGCACAGTCATGGCCTAGCGGCAGTACGTACCGAAATAAAAAAATCTTCCATAGACATCATTCTTGCGTGCCAAAAATGTACCGATTTTCTCTAATCATTTGCTGCTTTCTTATGGCATTAATCCTCTTCACCTCACTTGGAGTTAGAGGTAAGTTGTCTCTTCTTCATTTATGGATTAAATTAAAATTTTATCTATAATCTTACCCATCTTTTAATTTAATGTATAGTTTTATGTGGCCGCATATGTATATATGTTTCATATATTTAGAGTCTCAAACTCATTCTCATCTAGTTGACTTTCGTCTTTATTCATTCCTATACCAACTCAATTTATTTATAATTTTATAGACATTAAAAAAAATCAAAACTTAATAATAATTAAAATGTCAACAATGATACTCCTTTTATTCTATAATACTAAATATTTTTTTACTTGAGATTTGTCTTACAATAATAGTCATTTTTTCATTTTTTAATGGAGACAAAATTTTTTTTCTCTATTTTAACTTTAGGATTATCTCTTAATTTTAATTATCTATCATATTAGAATTTTTTTATTTTAATTTCTTTTTTAAGGGTAAAATATATAAAATCATTAAATTATCTCCAAATCCTTAGTCTAAAAGAATCTATTATTTTGGGGCAAAGCGAGTAATAAATAGATTAAAATACCTTAAATGAATTAACATGAAAAAAAAAATCATAAAGGGTATTTAAAAAATTTCATAAAAAATTTTATGCACTGTTTAGGATAAAATTAATTTAAAATTTTGAATTTTTATTTTTTATATATCTAGTAACTAGTACTATATTTAAATTTTTATGATAAATTTTGATTCCTAAATACACTACTAGAAAACAGAGTATAATCGACAAAAAATACTATCGATTATAAAAGGATTTTTGTTGATTATGTTATAATCGACAGATATAATTGACAACCAAAATTGTCATATAAACGGAGGTCGAAAATGTTTATAATTGCCAAAAAATTTTTCTGTGGAATATGCAAATATAATTGATAGCCAATGGTTGTCGATTATACTTTGTAAAAAAAAAAAAAAATTATCAACAGCCATTAGCTGTCGATTATGCAACTATAATCGAGAGCTAATGATTGTCAATTATACTTGGGTAGCTATAAAAAAAATATAAAAATTCAATAAAATCAAGAATTATATTCATAATTTTTTTTGTTAATTAAATTATATATATAAAAAAG